TGTGGAAAATAATGTGTTTTTTGAACCTTAAACCGCATAAACACATTTCATTACACCAAATACACAAAATAATGTTCTTTTTAGCAACATCATATGACCCCTTTAAAGGAATAGTTCAACCAAAAATGAAAATTTGCTGAAAATATGCTCACCCTCAGGCCATCCAAGATGTAGATGAGTTTGTTTAGCATTACGTCACTTACTCACCAATGAATCCTCTGCAGTGAATGGGTGCCGTCAAAATGAGAGTCCAAACAGCTCATAAAAACATCACAATAATCCAGAAGTAATCCACACCACACCACTCCAGTCCATCAATTTAATGTCTTGTGAAATGAAAAGTTGCATGTTTCTAAGCAACAAATCAGTCATTAAGGCGGATTAGCTGTAACCCACCATACCTAGCTGAAATATTAGTCCATAATCCATAATAGTTCTCTCCCCAGAGGAAAAAGTCCATGCCCTGTTGTGCTCTCACATCACAATCCACCAGCATTTTTGTTTAGAACTGTTTTTGCTTGTAAACAATTCTTGATATGTACATATTTCTCAACTTTTTCACTGGAGAAAATTATATTTTGGATAGAGGACTCATATTTTAGCTGAAAGCAACAATTTTAGCTTAAAAAGCTTTTTTTCTCATACAAATTTTTACTTCACAAGACATTAACTGGTAAACTGGAGCCATGTGAACTACTTCTGTGATATTTTTACCAGCTGTTTGGACTCTCATTCTGACGGCACCCATTCACTGCAGAGGATCCGTTGTTGAGCAAGTGATGGAATGCTAAATTTCACCAAAACTGTTCTGATGAAGCAACAAACTCATATACATATTGCATGACCTGGGGGTGAGTACATTTTAAGCACATTTTAGGTGAACCATTGCTTTAAAACATCATGAGGAGGAGTAAATGGTGACACAAAATATATATTTTTGATTAAAGTATTCCTTTAAGTGTCCCTTTGTGGGGACCCTTATTCACCCTGTGTGAACTGGGATTGAGTCCAGGACTGAGACACAATGGTCTAGTAGGCGTGTGGATCTATGGTATTGGCTGACAAGTCACTTTGCGAATCTGTTGCCCTTCAGGAACATTTAAAGAGAGAGATGAGTTTGCCCTCAGAATACCCTCAAATTGATTATTAGTAATGCAGTTAGCTAACTGAAATGCAAGCCTGTGATGGTTTTAATTACATGGATATGAATTATAATCAAATTACGGTGAAATGGAAGCAAAAAGCTTTGTGACATTATGAAATAATCGAAGGTGAAATGAAGCAAGTTTGAGTCTCTCTCTTCTAGCCTTCTTTTTGTTCTCACGGCTCTTTAGGGACACTTTTGCATGCCAAGTACATGCTGAAAGAGGCAGAACTATGAGGCTCAATCTCCTTCTGCTACTTCTCACAGCATGTAATTTCACTAAAGACATGCTGGCAGTTTCCTGGGAACACAAACCAAACTTAATAATAATACACTCAATCAAATATATGCTATATGCCTATTGTTTTGCCTCTCAGGAGCCCAGACATATTGAAAAGTCAGTGCTGCTTTAGTTAAGTTTATCTATATTGCTCTTGTGTTATCCATGTAATTTTCTTCTTAAAAATTAATTTTATATCTTGTATTTCAGATTGGGGTTTAACCTTTTGATTGATCTTAAACGTTATAATAAGTGGATTTTATGGGAGGTACTCCAGGGAGGGATGTTGAAAAAATGTAATGTTACTGTAAGAAAAGGGCCCTTTTTATCTTTTATTTTCATTAATTTGGCTGAACAGCAAAGAACAAATATTTTATTCATAAGTATTTATTTATTAATTCATCCATTCTGCAGTATATTAAGAATGCATAAAAGTCTAAAGGTTTTGTGACCAATTATTGACTAGGTTTCTACAATTTTCTTTAAGAAGTATTTTATGCTCATTATGGCTAAATAAATACAATATTACTGTTTTTACTGTATTAAACATTTAAAAAAATCCTAATTTTCTCTCTACACACACACGCATATATATATATATATATATATATACAGTATATTCCTGCAAGTGAAAACTTTGTGTATCAGCGTGGCTTGTTACTAATAATTGCAATTACAATAAATATTATTATGCATGTAATTTTCATATCAATTATTAATATTAAGAGACTATATGTGACCATGGACCACAAAACCAGTCATAAGGGTCAATTTTTTTAAATTGAGATTTATACATCATCTGAAAGCTGAATAAATAAGCTTTCCATTGATGTATGGTTTGTTAGGATAGGACGATATTTGGCCGAGATACAACTATTTGA